CTTCTAACACTACGTTGAACAGAAGCAGTGAGAGTAGACAGTCTTGTCTTGTTCCAGTTTTCAGGGGAAATGCTTCCGATTACTGTTCATTTAGCAATATGTTGACTGTGGGTTTATCATAGATGCCTCTTACTATTTCAAGGTATGTTCCCTCTATGCCTAAGTATTCAAGGGTTTTTATCTAAAAGGGATGCCGGATTTTACTGAAAACTTTTTCCACATGTAATGATATAATCATGTCATTCTTGTTTTTGCCATCTGTTAATGTATTTAATTATATTTATGGTCTTGCAGATGTTGAACCAGCCCTGCATACTGGGGATAAAGCCTACTTGATCATGATGGATGATTTTTGAGATGTGGTGTTGGATCCAATTCGCTAGAATCTTGTTGAGAATTTTTGCATCTATGTACATCAAGCCTTTCTTCCTTTGAAAAGTTTTCTCTAATATGTGGTAGATTGAAAAGAACTCTAAACTGAAAAGAAGCAGCTCCAACTCTGCCACTCCTTAATGTGTGATGACGAACAAGTTTAATTCTAAATGCATTGGTTTGTCTGCAACATGAGGAGGTGATAGAGCCTGTTCCAGCTCTAGAAATCTATGACTTGAACAGAAGTGTTTCCTACTAAAAGCAACTTAAAGTTAAAATGGAAAAGAAGTATTCATGTAAAACCTCACTGCTTATTTCAAATTTATGATCATTCACAATCGGATAATATTTATTTTTATATAATGTACAAGAAGGACTTATTGTGTAAATTAGTAACGCAAGGTATATCTGAAGAAAATATTAGTTTATGTGAAGGTACTCAATTCAGTATTCATTATGCTAGATGTAATAGGAAATACAAAGATGAATATGACATTTAAGACTCCCCAAGTGGGAAGAATAAAAATGTGCACACATGAACATATGACATGGCAGAATGTTTGGTAAGTGCTCTAATAACAACCATACAAAGTAGTAATGAGAACACAGTACAGTAAATCCCCTACGTACAATCCTTCAAGTTGCAAACTTTCTAAGAGATGAACATGTGTTCACATGTTGAATCACGTAAGTTAGTTCATGCATCTGGCATACATTGTCAGATGTATACAAGGTACTGTACTGTAAGATTACAAATGTTTTATTTTGTGTTTTTTTAATGCATAATTTGTGTGAAAAGCACTATAAACCTATTACAGTTCAGTACTATATAGGTGACTGTGCTAGTTTGGTACCTAGTCTAACTTTGTTAGACTTATGAACAATTTGGGTTTATGAATGTGCTCTTGGAATGGAACTTGTTTGTATGTAGGGGACTTACTGCAGTGGAAAAGTAAAATTTGGTCTTTTTAAAGGAGACAAAGGAAAAGGTCATATAAATTCACATCTACTGAGAAATATATTGTTGGTCTAGGGTGGATGTATTTGAAGAAAATAATACTTTATTTTAAAATATTCTAAAATTTAGTTAGAATGACTTTCTAATCAATCAGATATTATTGTGCCTTTTAAAATATGGAGTGACACCTCCAAATCTTCATCTACTCTCCTGCCTCTTTTACTTTTGTTTCGTTTACCATATTCTTCTTCTTTTTTTCCTGGAAAACAGCAATACTAATATCTCAAAGTCTGGGTTTGGAGGCAAGGAGTTAGCTAGAACTATTGTAGCAATAACACATACAAAGCTAACGTGACTTCTACTTTCACCCCCCCACCTCCACCACCATATGAGTGAACAAAGTCTAGGAGCTTTGCGTGTACAGGGGGTAAATAAAATCTTCTATATTATTCTGATGGTGGTACTCACCAATAGCAAGAAGCATTATCATGAAGTGATAACAAATGTCACAGTTTTCACAACTAAAGGGCATTAGTTTAAGGGGTTATGAACAACTGTACAATAGTTTACTGTCACAACTAATTTAAAACAAACAGACAAAATACATAGAGCTGTTCAAATGTACAAGAAAACACCTGGACTCAGGCAATCCTCTCACCTGACACTACAACTCAAAAAAAAAAATTTACAAGTGATAGCTTGTTTAAAGATTCTGCTAGCTCTTAGAAAAGTTTCAGATTTAGAACTAAAGTCATTTAATCCATAAAAAGGGATGACATCAAAATGACATCAAAGAGGTTATGATATATTTCAACAATATTCCCCAATATATATTTCTATGAGAATTTATTCAGATTACCAGACTAAAAGAGGAGGTAAGAATACAATCAAAATTCAATATGTATTTTTCCTTAACCACTATATAGACCCAAACATAAAATACATGAAGCATGGAAAACTCAACACTTAAGCACAATTGTCACACAAATTCCCATCTATTGCAGCATTTTTTTTCACTATAGACAGTTAACTTTGTAAAGGAACAGAAGAGAATCATAAATACTGGAACTGATCAATGTATTTTCTTTTTTACTTTCTTTTTTTTTTTTT